TCTTCCACGTAAATATGCTTTTTCATAGAAAAGTTAACAATAAATTGATTAAAAAATATATATCGGCTAAATTTTTGTTATAAATTATACTTATCTTCGCTCAACGAAGAATCAGTAGTTCTAGAAGAAGCTTCTCTCCTTCTTTGTCGATAAGGACTTACACCCCTTTCATCACATCTTAATCTGTATTCTTGTGTATATTGATATAGAGTATATCAAAATTTGTCACCTTGAGAAATGTTGAATTGTCGACAATAAGGAGTTATACTTTTTTTGCTACTCCTTTCATCGTGATGTCTTTCGTCACCTATTTGCCGACATGTTAAAGACCTTTCGGGTGTCCTAAGACGGGAAGCTTGCAAATCCCAGTTATCAGCTTCTAGAATGTCACATCTAACCATACTGGCAGTTGAGGTTTCACCATGTTGATGTTCATCTTCAATCCTGTAATTAAACAAAACATCATAATCTCCACCTAGTCGAGTTGGAGATTGGGATTGAGATCGAGTTTCTTTGGAAATACTTGATGGTACTAATAATTTGAATAGTCCTTCATTTGCCAGATCCTGCCGATGTGAAGATTTTGATATTTCCTGTTGACTTCGAGATGTTGGAACCTGCTAACATGATATTTCTTGACTACTTATATTTAGTCCTAAAACTTATCGATATGGTGTTTTTTGGCTACTCGAAGGTGTCAAAGTTGTTGTTGAAACCTGCAAATATGGAGTATTTGCTGTTTCTTGGCTACTAGAAGTTTCTGTTACTCCCTAAGTTTCTTGTTGACGCTGCACTTCCTGGCAATGTGATAGTTGACGACGTTCTGCTGCAGCCTTTTTTCGACCCATATTTCTAGTTATATTTTGCGACGAATTATTAGTGAGAAATTGAGAATGGAAGAAAATGATATATGTGAAAGAAATACGAGAAAACTATGTATGCAAAAGAGAGATGAAATACTGTTAGTGAAAATGATATATGCGAAAGGGAAACGAAATATTATTTTTTGGCGAAAGATGAAATATTGTTTGTAAGAAAGTGAGAAAATTTTTTGTCGAAAGAGATTTGAAATATTATTTGTGAGAAAATATTGAATCTTTTTATAAGCTTTCGGTTAAATAGAGTTTATTTTAATAGTATAATACATTGCATGTAATTCATTTAACTTTTGACTTAATGCGATTAATTCTTTAAATTTTGATTATAATGCGGTAATTGATTTAATTTACGATAATAATTTTGAAGTTTCAATACATATATTCTTTTAAATTTCGTTTATAATGCAAGTATTCTTTTAAGTTTCGATTTAATGCGATAATTGATTTAAATTTCGATTATAATGCGGTAATTATTTTATAATTCAGTATTCTTTAAATTTCACTTATAATGCAGGTATTCTTTTAAGTTTTGATTTAATGCGATAATAGTTTTAAATTTTGATTATAATATGATAATTCTTGAAAATTTCTATTACCATGCAGTAATCGTTTTAAGTTTCGATTATAATGCAGGTTTTACTTAAGTTTCAATTATAATGCAGGTGTTACTTAAATTTCGATTATTATGCAGTAATAGTTTTAAGTTTCAATCATCATGCAGTATTGTTTTAAGTTTCGAATATTATGCAGATCATAGATTATAATGCGAATATTAATACAAGTTTTATTTCGCCGCAGCATTTATATTAATTGTTTCATTTATATATATAAATCATTCATTGACATTGACAAAAAACATCAATTTCAAATTTTCAAGATGACAAGAAATAGGTCTATTTTGAATATTATTGGTAATAAGCTGACAAAACGACCATCTCTACCATCTGAGTCAACTCAAAAAAAAAAGTTAACAAAGTTTCTTGTTATTGTAATAAGTGTAATAAAAAATTTGTTTTAAATAAGATCAAACTTTTTGATGAATCGGCAAGTGGTTCATCAATGATTCGTAGTAGTTCAAGTGGCTCATCAACAATTCGTGGTGGTTCTGCTATTGAACAATTATATCTAAATTTTGAATTGATACTCGATACTAGATCACCTGCTGAAATTGAATCACAAGATTCGAGAAGCGAAATGATTGATGATAATTCACGAGTTTTAAGAAATAAAACGACTGATTGTTATCCTAAATTACTGAATTTACCTCGAAAGCGTACAAGAAGGTATAAAAGTTATACGCAAGTTACTGACGATTTGAGTGACTCTGAGGATGAGCAACATACCGAGTCTTCTTTAAGTGAGAATAGTGAACATAACGAAAGATAACATATCGAATCTCCTATAAGTGAAGACGAAAGTGTTTCTGATGATTTACTTATTTCTGAAACTTTTGAAGATTATTCTCTGCTGAAATATGAACCATATCAAGATGAAGAAGAGGAAGTAACAATCAATGATCAATTTTCATAGATTTTATTATGGTTAATAAACTTTTGAATTAGGTTCAACATACCAGAGACTGCAATTAAGTCTCTTATAAAATTTATGAAATTAGTTATAACTGAAATTGGTGGTGATAAGTTTAACAGATTTCCAAGTACTTTTTATTTAGCAAAAAAATTGCTTATGCTCAAAGACCGATTTCATAGTTTCGTATCTTGTACGAAATGTCATAAACTTTAAAACAGAGATGAAGTAATGAACTTTTGACAGAATGATACTTTATCGATTATGACATGCAATCATGTCAAATTCCTGAATTCATCAATTCACAGGTTACGGTCTTGTAATATATCATTGTCTCGTAAAACAGATAATTTAAATTTTTTTTAACCAAAATTAATTCATCCATTTGCTAGGATTTGAGAACAACTCAGTGTTATGTTTCGTCGACAAGGATTCGAAAATTATCTACGTCATTGGGCCAATAGAACAAGTTTCAATAACATATTGGCTAACATATATGATGGATAAGTTTGGAAGACATTTAAAGAAAATGGTTCAGAAATCTCACCGAAATTTTTCAGACCTGATGTAGCTGATTCACATCTAGGCTTAATGTTGAATTTGGATTGGTTTCAACCATTTGACGGAACAATCCATAGCACTGGAGTATTATATGCCGCAATTTGTAATCTTCCAAGAGACATTCGATTCAAGCGTGAAAATTTACTAATTCTTGGAATTATGCCCAGCCCGAATGAAGTGAGTTTACACAAAATAAATCATTATTTAGCACCAATTGTTGACGAATTAGAGTTACTTTGGAATAGTGTGAATCTAAACTGAACATACGAATGTCAAGAAGGAAGGAGAATTCATGCAGCATTAATCCTTGTTTCATGCGATATTCCCACAGCAAGAAAAAATTGTGGTCATGTTTCGGCATTGGTGTTATGTCATAGGTGCGAAAAGAAGGCAAATTATGAAAATCGGCAACATAATTTTGCTGGAATGATAAACATAAATGAATGGTTTACTCCTCAGGATTCGTCACGACATCGAGAGGATGCACTTGACTGGTGAAGGTGCAATTCAGATGCTAACAGAAAGCAATTTATAAAGCATACTGGCGTTATATGATCTGAGTTACTTCGATTACCATATTTTGACCCAATTCGTTTTTAACGGTCGACCAATTAAGAATTTTTTGTATCTACCTACATGCATCGCAAATATCTGAAACGAAGAAAGAAAGCTCAATCTATATAAGACGATTGTCAAACATATCAAAGATGGTCTAAAGTCTGACTTTAAAATTATCCTGTTAGGCGATTTTAATGCAAACCTCGATAATTACTGGTCTCATTCTAATAGCGGTTCCCCTTCTCATTGGAGATTCGACTTTTATGACCAAATTTTCGCATTTAACTTCTTAGATCTTTATGACTTATGTCATGATTCACCCGAACCTACCTTTTGTGCTAATAATCGAAGCTTGCGCATTGATACTATTTTCGCTTCACCCAACCTCGTCTCAAATTTTTTATTCTCATCATTATACTAATCCGTTTTATATTCTTCAGACCACAAAATCATTTTTGCTTTCTTTATAGATATACAGCGTCGCTCACAGGCCTGATCTCGTATTCTTCAAGATAAACGACAAGTATCCAATTTACACTTGATGAATTCGTCCAGATGGGCTGATTTCTCTGAATACACCAATTACCATTATAATTGTTATAATTTCGATCATCTTAAGAACCTACCGCCTACTCATCACAACATGAATTCTTTATGGGTCAATATCAAAACTGCGATTTGTGCTGCAAATAAACATACTATCCCACAAGTATAGATCTCTCGTCACAACAATACTAAATAATTATATGAATCACCGGACTCATATTTAGCTGCAAGAAAAGTTAGCTCGATTCTTTTACTCTTTAAACCCAAGTTGATCCAGGCTAAAGAATGGCCTAAAGGATTGAAGTGGACTGATGTGACTAATATCATGGCCAAAATTACTGACCAAATGAAGCTCGCATCCATCACCTTTCCTCCAGTTCTTACTGACCTCTCTGTTCTTAAAGTCAAACGTAACCTTATCATTACTTTTAAAATACTCTCAAATTTGGCAAAGATTGACACACACAATCTCAAAGTTTCAGCAATTAAACAACTGGTGGATAAACGATGTAATGACTTGCTCAACAATATGTCTAACATGATTGACTCTATTCTTAATCAAAAGAAGAACACAATTATCTTGGATCGTTTACTAATTAATGATCCTGTTACAGGCAACAAACGTTTTACCATTGACCCTGATGAAATTAAAGAGTCTACTTAACATCATTTTCAAAATTTCGCTCTTCCTGACACTGCGTCTCAACCTATGCCTTCACGATAGATTAACCAATATCTTCCAAAAGATTATATCAATAGTAGTTGCTATGACAATCTTCTTTAACCTCTCACTAAGGATGAATGGCTAGGGATTTTACAGCTTTTGCCTAAGGATAAGGCCGCTGGTCCATCAGGGATAACTAATGAAATGTTGACGCACTTAGGGGATAAACTGCAGTATCTTCTTTGGCAACTTATTTGCATATGCTTCATTATCAGCGACATTCCTAACGAATGGAAAATTGCACATATCTTTCAAATTCCTAAACCTATAGCTTGGGAATGTGATATAACAAAGACTCGACCTATCACATTACTTGAAAATGCGTGAAAAGGTTTCATTAAAATTCTCACCAATCGCTTATCAAAAATAATTGCTAAATATTCAATCCTACGAGAAGGCAATTTTGCTGGATTGCCAGGGGGCTCAACGGAGACCCCTATTAAGATTCTTAACATGTTACTCAAGGATGCCAATGAAAATGATAAGGAAATTTGGATATTACTCCAAGATCTTTCAAAAGCATATGATCGTGTCGACCTGTCCTTCTTTCGTAAGGCATCACATCATATTAAAGTTTCTAATCACGCAGTGGATTTATTGATCAACCTATTTACTGCCTGAAAAAATGCAGTATTCACTGCTCATAGTATATCAGAATATTATGATGTTAAAATAGGTATAGATCAGGGTAAAGTTATATCTCCACTCTTATGGTGCATCTACCTTGACCTGTTATTGTGTGAAGTCGCTAATTTTAACAAAGGATATAATATTGCATACCATTGGATCTCAGATCTCACTACTTTATCTTCTAACCAGCTATCAGTTCAAGTATCTTCACTCGTATTTATGGATGATACTAATTGGATTGCTGGAAATCAACAAAACTTTGAATCAATGTTAAAAGTTGTGGACGAATTCTACAACTTTACTTGATCTGCCCTTAACAAACAAAAATCAAAACTCCTCTCTACAAAGAAATTTTTGAGTCCCTCAGTAAACTTACATTTTGGTTTATCCTTTATTAATATAAATGCTGATCAGGGGTCTGTGAGATTTCTTGGAGTATAGATCAATTCTAAACGCTCTCTTGCTTTCGTTAAAAACAAATTATACTAGATATTCAACGACTTGTTAATACACTGCGATACAAACCTATTACTGATAAACAGTTCGTATATATCATTAATATGGTCCTTTGTCCTCTTATTGAATATCGTATCCAACTCACCTCTCTCTCAAAGATCGAATATGACAAATTTTTTGCATCGATTCATTCCTTATTTAAAAAGAAAAATAAGTTTGCCATAACACTCCCAAATGTCCTTTTAAATTTTCACAAATTTTATAACTTGAATGATTTTTGGTCATTGCAAATTAAATTTCTTTCTTGTGCTCTCCTAAATGAATTTAATAATAATTCCCTTTATGAACACATTTCGACTATCCGTTTATTTTAGCTACAATCTCAATATTGTCTGTCAACTTCTCCCTTACACTCCTGGACCCAAACCTTTAATCGCTATTCTAATCATAATCTTATCGGTGTTTTCTTGTCTCTTATTAAATCTTCCTCTTCATATTTATCCTTTAAACCATCTCCTACTCTAATTAATCATATCAATGGAGGGCACATTCTATTATCAACCATCTTTTCTGTCAATCTATTTCTTAAATATACTAACTTTCTCCAATAACACAATCTTATTTATTTAGATCAACTTACCGATGCTACTGGTCAATCACTTATAGATAAATCTGATTTGTTTCTTAGAAATTTTGATCATCATTCGTCGAGTATGAGTAATTCTAGATTCTTTGTGCACTTAGAAGCACTAGTTTTAGAAAATAATAGCAATAGATTACTTAAATCAGAATTTAGATTAGACCGTTCTTTATCTATTTATAAATATTTAGCTATCACCTCAATTCCAGTCAACCATAGAAAAGAATTCATTGCCTCCTGGAATCCGATTTTGAATGCCATTTCCTTTAGACAAATTTTTGATAAAATCTCGAGTCCTGAATGGTTTATATGTTTTCACCTTACTGCCATTAGAAATAATAATCATAGCACTTCTCTTATTAAATACACCGAGTGCAATGCCTTTATGACAATTGGCTCAAATAACTGCTGCACTTTTAGAATTAAATCAGACAGAGTTTTTCGAGTTGATGTACTACGGAAGCCACCTAACATAGAAGAAAGAAGACTCAAATATTCCTTAATTGAACTCTCTAGGATCGCTTTTAATTTGTTTTATAACTTACCAACTCCTCCACCCTTACCATCTGCACCTGTCAACATCTTATATTCCATTTTTCCTTCTTCACCACATCTTCACACACTTTCCTCACTTCACGCTGCACTATTCACCTCTGATGTTCTTAATTTTTACACAAATGGTTCTTTAATTAATCCTAGTTCTGAGCTTTGCAAAATGGGCATTGGTTGGATTTGTATCGACGCCAATTCTAATTATCACCAGTTTGAAGTGTCTATTGAAAATTGGCCTTCATCCACTCGAGCTGAATTATTTGCTCTAATGACTGCTCTTCTTGTATCTCTTGAATCAGCAGTGATTCACATTTACATTGACAGTCAAGCGTTGAT